CAGTGCTGTGCCTTAGTGCAGTGCTCACTACAGTGTCCTTTGGATACAGTTCTCGGCCTCCACGGATTAGCTGCACCAGCTCCGGTGAGGATTCCCAATTTATTAATTGGTGAAGGGATCTCGATAGATAGTTAAGATTCGTTCTGATACGTTCTCGGTTCGTCGCTCTCTGTCTCTCGCACTATTTGCCGGACTCTTACTCCGACCCTCTCTACCTCAAACCTAGCAGCCTGAGCGGCCGTGCATTTCCGTAACCGTCCGCTCCCGTTCGTGTATCCAGTTGCGTTTGCTGATTTTACGCGACCCCAAAGATCAGCACCTACGGTTGCGTTTCTCGATTTTACGCGTCCCCAAAAAATCTACAGGATCCGTTAAGCTATCGCCTCTTCTGATAGGTTCCGTCAGAGCTCTCGTTCTTGGTTGACTTGGGCCTGTTCCACCCCAACTCCCAGTTTATACCGGCTCGTCAGTTCCCGGTGAAAAAAGAATTGACTGGCGCCCGCCTGGCTTGCGGAAGCACGAACGACGGGTGGACGGCCGAAGGTAACGTAGGTTGGTTCTCGAAGATAGTCGTTCCCGTATGTCTTGCTACCGGTGTCGGGTCAAGTTAAAGAAAAAATTACGTATGATTTGCTATCGGTGTCGGGTCAAGCTAAAGAAATACGTTACAGTATATACAGAGTGTCCCAGAACTACTTTTAGCCATCGCCCATTTTTCGGTCGAAAAGTAGTTCTGGGACACCCTGTATACTAGGGGTGCGTGCAGCTCGGGCGCCTCGCGCCCTCGCAACAGTCGCAACTTCCTCCGCTCAAAAAAGGGCTGTTATGCCCAAACCCGAACTCAAAACCAAACCCCTCGAAATGTTTATATTATGTAGTGAAATATATATATTGTAACGGTAATTTTGTTGGAGGAACGTGAAAACCTTAATCGCGGAAGAAACAAAATATCCCGTCACAAGTACACGAATTCTCACGAGAGCAACAATCGAGACTATACCCGATAAAAGACCCTAGGCGCCAGGTATTCTCTAGGAATACCGATTTCACGAGACAAGTTGTCTGGTAACCGCTCTCACAAAAATTTGGTCGACAACACACTAGCTCAGCCTGTTCACCGTGGAACACAATGATAAAGGGGCAGGGTTCTTGGATTGGGAAGCTAGCGAAATCACGAAAGGAACAAAATAGGATTTGCAAGAAATTATAAACATCAATAAAACAATAAGTGCAGAAGGTTGGACCGCTCGATAGCTAGGTCCCCAATTACGTGAGATACTCGGGTACGAAAGAACGAAGTTGTGTACTACAATATGGACAATATTGACAACGATAGTGATATGCCGAAAATCAGTCGCGTATAGATTACAAAAGAAATAATACTTGTCGTGTAAGAGTCGTACGATAGCCCTAGCAACTGTACTACATTGGCGTAATTAATAACGCATCCTTTACGGACCGATAGCCCTAAGGTTTGAGTATTACGATAGCACTATTACTAAAGAAAGCTAAGCAATGGCATATCACCGTACATCGGAATTTGAACAGAATAAAACACAGATATAACAGTAATACGACAATGGTGAATAAAACTAATATTCGCGAGAAGGAAATAAATAAGAAACAGGTAAATTTATAGAGGCGTAATTCTTTCAAATACTCGAAGCAAAGCAAGACGATAGCAGATACAGACTAACGTATGTACGTCTCAATATTGAGAAGCAATAACGATACGTAGGCTCAGTAGCCACACTCCAGGATCCAGAAAATTACTCTATTAATTAGAACGCAATAATATTAATCTAAATTATACAATACTTAGTTACACTAGAAAGAGAGACGATAGCCACGGAATTTTTCCGATTACGAAAGTAGCCCCGAATCATAAGGATTCGAGAGCGATAGCAGACGGCAAGATTGCCAGGAAAATTCCACGTTAATCGAACCTCAGAAATCACCGGTATTAAGCAAATTTTCTAAGACGTCTATTCACCACCACGGACAGCCAGCCAGAGAGCGATCTATCGGTTTGCGTACACTCGGTAGGTGGTGACATCCCCACCCTTACTCTACCGCGTTGGGCCCTATGCTGAACTTATTCGCGCGCCATAATTTAAACATGGTTAGGAGTCCCTTTACATCACGATAGGACGATACACCAAATATAACGTTAGCAGATAATTAACATTACATTATCGATACTATATTAGTCAA